TGTGCTACAATTATAGGGGCATCACTCTTCTTAGCCTCCCTGGTAAGGGTTATTCAGTGGTACTGGAGAAACAGCTTCGATGGTTGGTCAAACCTCAGATCCAGGAGGAACAATGTGGGTTCCATCCTGGCCGTGGAACACTGGGCCAACTCTTTATCCTCACTATGGTCCTCGAAGTATCATGAGAGTGTGCCCATCCAGTCTATCTGTGTTCTGTGGACTTGGAGAAGGCTTTTGGCCATGTTCCTCAAGACAATGTGGGGGGTGCTCCGTGAGTATGGGATTGGGGGCCCGTTGCTACGGGCTGTTTGGTCCCTATACAAGCTTTGCAAGAGTTTGGGTTGCATTGCCGGTAGTAAGTAAGACTCCACCAAGGCTGCCTGTTGTCATCGATTCTGTTCATAACTTTCAGGGACAGAATTTCTCTATGGCCTCAGGATTCCCTCTCTGCTATTTGTGGATGATGTGGTCCTTTTGGCATCATCATGTTGTGATCTCCAGCTCTCACTAGAGTGGTTTGTAGCCAAGTGTGACGCAGCTGGGATGAGAATCACCACCTCCAAATCTGAGGCTATGATCCTCAGTCGTAAAAGGATGGATTGCTCTTTTCGGATTGAGAGTGAGGTTCTGCCTCAAGTGGAGGAGTTCAAGTATCTCCGCGTTTGTTCATAAGTGAGGGAAGAATGGAGCATGAGATTGACAGACGGATTGGTGCAGCATCTGCAGTATTGTGGACTCTGTACCAGTCCGTTTTGGTGAAGAGAGAACTGAGCTGTAAGGCAAAGCTGTCTGTTTACCTTTCAGTCTACGTTCTTACCCTCACCTATGACCAAGAACTCTGGGTAGTGACTGAATCAATGAGATTGTGATACAGGAGATCGAATCAAGTTTCCTCTGCAGGGTAGGTGGACTCTCCCTTAGAGATAGGGTGAGAAGTTCAATTATCCGGGAGACTCGGAGTAGACCAGCTGCTCCTTCACTTCGAGAGGAGCCGGTTGAGGTAGTTCAGGCATCTAGGGAGGAGCTTCGGGCATGTCCGACTGGGAGAAGACCCCAGGGAAGACCCAGTATATGCTGGAGAGACTCCGTCTCTCGGTTGGCTTGGGAACACTTTGGACTCCTTCCAGAAAAGCTAGACAAGGTGGCTGTGGAAATATATGTATGGACCTCCCTGCTCAAGCTTCTGTCCCCGCAACCCAACTTCGGAAGAAGTGGAAGATGATGGATGGATGGATGGATGGATGGATGGATGGATGGATGGATGGATTAATTCTCTGTAAAAAGGTACACAATTAGTAAATGTTTGATTAATGAAAGAATACAGAAAACATGTTAAAAAAATAACTATATTTCCTTTTTTAATCTGGAAATAAAATTAAAGTAAAAAATAGAGAAAATTGTCTTTGAATCAGATCATCTGTCACTCATAAATAAAAACATTTTCATCAAGGTTGCCACAAGTTTTGTATACATTTCTTAATCATGGTAACAAAAGTTGTGACAATTTATCCAATTTATCTTAGTGTATATCTTAGATCCTTATTTACTGTGTCTTTTTATACTTTATATTTTGCTATTTTGGGGTGTAACTAGGGCCCTGTGTACATAATTTTGTTCCACTTCATGTACCACATGTGGTGAAATAACAATAAAGTTGATGAACTTGAACATAGACATGGGCAAAAAGAGCTGTGATCCAATTAAAATCTTTTCCTGTGTAGATGACATGTTTTAGGTGAAGCATTTAGATACTAGTTTTTGTCAGACCAAGAACAAGAAGAAAAACTTCAATTTGGGTACTTGCTTATACTGAGTACTATGAGTTCAGTCGGCGCTGTTTTCTTTGTGAATGAATCCATTCCACTTGATTAATAGGAGAATATTCAAACCACTAAAAATCCACTCCAAGTTTTCCTGGTTACCTACAACTCTCCAGCAGCCTGCAGATTCTCCTCTGTGTTAGAGCTGTCATCTCTAACCGAGCCCTAAGCCCTGCCCCACCCAACCCGAATTCGGGGCAGGCAGGGCCATAATAATGTGCAGGATGGGCGGGCCGGGTCAGTGTTGGGCTTTTAATTGGGTCAGGATCAGCCGCGATCCAATTATATGATACATGTCTACCATACATCCACCAGCCGCACGCAACCATTTTACTGAGAACTGACCGGCCCTGAAAGAGGTGAAAAGTTCAGTTAAGCTTCAGATGGGAATATACTGCCAGGCAGTGATCCACCGCCCAAATGGACGTTCATTCAGCCGCTGCAATCAGTGGACGCGCGTGGCTGACGACCCAAACAGGTGAGATCCCAAAGCAAACGTGTCAGAGCAGGATCCGTGTATAAATCAGAATGCAGACAGAAACAGGGTTTAAATGCTCTTTTATGGCCATGAAAAGACAAACACCTCTCAGCTCTGAATCTTCTGCTGCTTTTATTCAGCCACTCGTCCCCCATTATCAATAACAATTTTTTTTTTTTTTTTTTCTGAGTCTGGATCTGTAATCATTGTTAATTCATCGGGTCGGGTGGGATTCGGAAATTATGACTGCGGGGTGGGGCCAGGTTGGATCAGATTCTTTGGGCCCAAATGCAACTCTGAGGCTGACACATTGTCCAGTTTTAAAACTGGGCTTAAGACTTTCCTTTTTGCTAAATCCTATAGTTAGTGTCGGCTTGGGTTTCCCGAGATGTCCCTTAGTTATGTTGCTATAAGCTTAGACTGCTGGAGGACAAAGTGACCACAATTTTCACTCTGCTACTGTCTTTACTTACTCTGCTCAACCTGTTTTGTATTTGTAATTATTTATTCTATCATTAACATTTGTTGGATTTTTTGTCTTTCAGGTTCACCTGGACCTATACCTGGACCTACCATTCTGTGTTCGTCTGTCTCTCCTTCCTGTCCTCTCAAACCAGCCGGTCAAAGCAGATGGCCACTTGTCCTGAGCCTGGTTCTGCTGGAGGTTTATTCCTTTTAAAAGGGAGTTTTTCTTTCCACTGTTGCCACTGTGCTTGCTCAGGATGGGAGACTGCAACGAAGCCAAGATTCAACTTGTCTGCTGGATTCCTTAGATAGAGAACTTTACTAATTGGCTTTTATGTGAATGTTCCTGTAAAGTGCCCTGAGACAACTTTGTTGTGATTTGGCGCTATATAAATAAACTGAATTGAATTGAACTCTACTCTGTGTCTCCTGCCTCGACAGAGATCGCTCACAGGTGGAGGAGGTGGAGACACCTCTGTGTTGATCGCTTGCCAGTTTAGCGAGCTTAGTGTGGGCAGTTGTTGACCTCGAGGGTTGACTATAAACATATATTCATGTTAGTATGCTTGAGAGAAGTGGAGCGCTACGTCTGTAGCATGTTAGCTTAGCAGTAACTGTGACGCTGTAAGACGCTGCAGATGTAAGAGACGCTGTGTTCAGGTGCATTAAAGTTGAAATGTCTTTAAAACCCCACACCTTATTGTCCTCAAGCTTCATGACAAACATCATTTAGATGAGTAGTGTTGAACACAAGTAAAAAAGTCCAGTGGTGACGTGTTTTAATTTCTCTATAATCACAAATAGTGCCGACCTGAGGCTGTGTGTTAATAAAGTGCATTAAAGTTAAAATGTCTTTAAAACCCACGGCTGAATAAACTTGGTGAGAAACATGCTTTAAATGTGTGAAATTAAAAGTAAGGAAATCTAGGTGAAATGTTTTTTGTTTTTTTTATACACTAGTGTACACTTTTTTGCACACTGGTGCGCGCCTGCACGCGCACACGTGCGTGCACACACACACAGTGTGCCGCCCCCCCCCCCCCCCCCCCCCCCCCCCCCTGCAGTTTCTCCTCTGTGTTAGAGCTGTCATTTCTAACCCGAGCCCTAAGCCCGGCCCCACCCGACCCAAATTCAGGGCAGGCCGGGCCATGATAATGTGCTGATAATGTGCTGATAATGTGCACACACACACACACACACACACACACACACACACATTACAGATGATTCTGATGCCCTTGCTCTAAACTATGGCCATTTTTTTTTGTCCTCAGTTGCAAAGTGAAAGAAGAAATTAAAGCATAAAAGTGATATCCGTCTGAAGGATCGGGGTGTTTGTATGAGTACAGTAGTCCCTCGTTTATCGCTGGTGTTCCATGTCCTGTCCCCCTTGCGATAAGTGAAAGACTGCGAAGTACGGATACAGCAGTCTGAGTTCAAGTTCAGTAAATGTTGTCATGACATGTGCCAGGCTGTAATCACACTCATCACCTGTTACTCCCAATCTCCCTCCTTAAATAAACAATTTAAATTTAAATACTGTAACATTTTAAATAAACAATCCACGCAGCATGGATTGTTTATTTAAAATGTTACAGTATTTAAATTTAAATTGTATAGAAGAGAAGTGCAGCAGGACATCAAAGTGATGTCACACAGCTTCAGCTCTGCAGCACGGAGCAGAAATGTACTTCTTGATCAATTACACTGCAACAACTGAACATAGAAGTTCTAAAATAATTAAAAATAGCTTTTAACAATTTTATATTTTGTGATTATGATGCACTTGTGGGCTGCACTTAGGTGCTAAATCCTTTTAAATAATTTATTTTAAATTAGAAATCCATGGCTCATCCAGCAATCAGCCAAAACCGCGAGTTTGCGGAAAACAAAACGCGAAGTAGCGAGGAACTACTGTACAAATACTTCAGAATGGTATCAGGCACTAGTATCAGTATCGGGACACCACAGGTCACTTGTAAATGAGTCTCCGAGGCTCAATGTGATTTATCTATATAAATAAAGGTCGAATTAAAAAAAAAACTAATTAGGTGTTTAAGATCCATATTATTCAATACATGTTTAAATTTATCACAAAATGTTCTGAGACCTTTAAAGCTTTAATCAGTTTGTTAAAACTTTGTTGAAGAGCTCAGTCGAGCGTCTTTTGTTAAACTTTTTGTCATAAATTAGGAGGATCTTGGATCTGGAGATCAGTTTGATTTGTCTTCACTCACCGCCGCAGCAGACGGCTGTATGTTCTCCACTGTATGAGCACCCAGGGGAGCCAGAGCTTTATTTTGGAGCATCAGCACGTCGTCCTCCTCTGGAGGTTTCCAGATGTACTGCTCTCCGTTGCCCATAAACATCACTTCCTGTCAACAGGACAACAGAGCCCATTAGGAACAGAGTTGGTCACATGTTGGTGCATGCTGCTGCACAAACAAGAAAACATCTTTGAATGAAGAAATCTGCCTTTTCACACCTAACAGCACTCGTGAATAACTAATGACCTCCTTTAAGAAGATGGATTTCAGACAGCATGGAGCAGTGTTTCCCTGAAAGGTGGAGCCTGTGATGAAGCAGGTGCTTCAGCTGGGGATGACTCCATTTCAGCACGTTGCATCATCCAGAAGGAAATCAGTGGGGAGAAGACCTAGACATGAAACCCTGTGAACTGGACGTGGAAACGAACCTGGGTCACAGCATGTAGCATGACCCTGCTGACCTGGTACGAGACGGCAAATGGCGTCCCACTGTCACCAGCAGGGGAGCAGACGGCCGCACACCTACAGCAGAAACCAGTGGACTCCTGCTGCGAACATATGGAGGAGGTGTCACCTGGAGGGGAGCAGGAACACCCCCACCATCTCCAAGAACTGTCCTAATAAACACCGCTCACTTCATTCTGCCAGCGTTTCAGAACAGCGTGAGACGGTCGAGTGCAGAGGAAACTGCACCACTGGCACAAAAACACTCCACAGCATCGACGGTAAATCTGACGGAAAGGCTCCTGATCACAACACCTCGAGAACTGACAACACCTGGAGCTGAACAATGAAATATTTACGACTCCGACACATTCACACATCAGAACAGACACTGGTGGTCGGTTTTCTGGACTGATGGGAGTCTGGCATCAACGCAGTCTTTCTGTACTTTGTAGAACAATAATGTATAATTCAAAGTGACGAGCTGACAGCTAGTCTGAGCAAGGCCGGAACAGTAACGGACCGCTGCCGTCTGAAAACAACGGCAGTCCAACAAGTTTTACAGTGGTTGTTGCAAATGTCATTATTTAACCGTTTCACAAAGCACGGGTATTTACATCTAATTGTTTGCACTGGTGAAGCTTCTCAGTTCTCCAGGACATGGAAAAATTAAAAAAAAGTTCAAGATAGAAACAACTGGACTTTGTTTGTAACTGGAGAATTTTCGCTTCTCATCCGAGGAGCTTTCTCAATTCACAGAAACACAGTGTGGAGTTTTGAGTTATAAAGCTGAGGTGTTCTGTGTGCAGATGGCCCTGACACCGCTCACAATGGGGGTTCAACGGGGTCATTGTTAATCTGACTCACAGACAGCCACTGTGACCACATGGATGAAATTCTTGATACGTGTGAGAATGACTGGGTATCAGTCCTAAAGCTGCATTATAAGTTTTTGAAAGTTGAAATCTGAGGCCTCCTCCTCTGTTTAAAGATGGTTGCTCTCTTTTTACATTAATTGCTTCCTTCACCCCCCTCTCAAACCATCTGTTGTCTCGGTCCAAAATGTGATCATGTTGGTCCTCATAGGAGTGTTCCTTCTCCTTGAGGTGCAGGTGAACAGCTGAGTCTTGTCCTGAAGAGCTGGCTCTCCTGTGTTGCAACATGGGTCTGTGAAGAAGCTTTTTGGGTTCTCCAAATGAAAAGGAACAAAAACTTATCAAAAACGCTCTCCAAACATGTGGATATCCTAACTGGGCTTTTGTCAAGTCAGCAAGAAAATCTACAAAACACAAAACTGAACAGAACAAGGAGAAGAACAGACAGACAAACATTCCTTATGTTGCTGCAGTATCAGAGAAACTCTGAAGGATTTTCTCCAAACACAATGTCCCAGTACATTTCAAACCCAACAGAACCCTGAGACAGAGGCTGGTCCACCCTAAGAATAAAACACCCAAACAAACAGAGTGGTGTGGTGTCTGCAGTTCAGTGCAGCGAGGACTGTCCACATCTCATATACATTCGTCCCTCGTTTATCACGGGGGATCCGTACCCCGAAGAACCCACGATAAGTGAAAAACCGCGAAGTAGGAATAGTCAGATTCTTTATTGTCATTCGCACCTCATGTATATAGTAGTAAAAGCAGTATGTAGTAGTTTATTTTATTATATATATCTATATATATATAGATATACATATAAAACAACGTTTCTAAACTCTCTAAAAGAGCACAGAATATCATGATTTCAGCTTCCTGCCTTCTCTGCTCTTTGCCACTTTTCAAGCGCTCTTGGCCACGCCCACTTCTCCATTCTGCCAGCTGATCAGCTGCAGCAGGAAGTTTATTCTGCAGCTCTGGGCTACACAAATATGCAGCAGGTGCTAAATAATTTATTTTAAATAAATAGTCCATGCCGATTGTATGGCTCATCTTCAATCAGTTCAATTTTGTGTCATGTCCAATCTTATTTTGAAAAACCGCAATAGGGCGAGTCCTCGATAAATGAACCACAAAGTAGCGAGGGACTACTGTATAGGATAAACCAAACAGCTTCTTCATAGACACATGTCGCAACGCAGGAGAGCCAGCTATTCAGGACAAGACAGCTGTTCACCTGCACCTCAAGGATAAGGGACACTCCTATGAGGACCAACATGTTCACATAGACAGATGGTTTGAGAGGGGGGTGAAGGAAGCTATTTATGTAAAACTAAAAAACATCTTTAAACAGGAGGAAAACTTATAATGCAGCTTTAGGCCTGATACACAGTCATTTTCACACCAATCAAGATTTTCATCCATGTGACCACAGTGGCTGTCTGTGAGTCAGACTAACTATAACCCTAATGAACCCCCAGTGTGAGCGGTGTCAGGGCAACCTGCACACAGAGCACCTCGGCTTTATAACTCTGTTTGAATTGAGAAAGCTCCTTGGATGAGAAGCGAGACGTCTTCAGTTACAAAATAAAGTCCAGTTGTTTGTGTCTTGAACTTTTTTGGTCTAATTGTTTGGTTCGTTGCAAGTGCATAAAGCGTCAGCAGCAAGCTGTACCATTTCCTGTGCAGTCTGGGGGACATTCAGCAGGAACATGATAATATGAATGCCCAAATAAAAAGGTAAAGTTACACAAAGATGTAAAAGTTTTTAAATCAGTGTTAGAAAACTAAACTTTTAAGATTGAAGCTGTTTTAAATTGACAGCATTCTTCATCCTACTCGTCATCACTTTGGTTAAAATTAAACTCATTAATTGTTGAAGGAACAATCTACAACAAGTAAGATATTAACTGTTCATAACATTTCTACAAAGGTACAATTAAAATGTGAACTACCATCTTTAATATTTGACTTCCTGTTGTCAATCTGGTTTTATTTCCACATATTTCAGCTCTAAAACAAACTGATTAAAGATGCTGTTAGTGTTTATTCCAAATATAATTTACAAGAAATTTAAGCTGTTTTGTTGGCTAAATTTTTTTCTGCATTTTATTTTTCAGACAAGACTTTTAACTGTGCTATAAACCTCATTAAGATTATTAACTGTGCTATAAACCTCATTAAGATTATTAACTGTGCTATAAACCTAATTAAGATTATTAACTG